CACTTCTGGGCTTAATTGCAAACCTCATCTTTGGATTTCTGCCTAAACGCGGCTCCCGGGACCGCACAAATCCCTGCTCGGTGTCCGAGCAGCCTTGTTTACCGCGGCGAGCCGAGGCGGCAGGATGAGACAGAGCTGCAAAGCTGGGCAGCCAGTGGAACCCCCAGCTGAGGATGAGCCCCCTCTCCCTTTCCCAGCCTGAGCACATTCTCAGGTTGGCGATCCTGCTGCTGCTGCCCCTCCCGGGATCCCCATCCACATTCCCCATCCGCATTCCCGGCGCATCCGCTGTCCCTGAGCTGGGCTGCAGGCTCCCCTGGAGAGACTCTTGCGTTATCCGCAAATGCCAAGCAAGCTTCCAGAAATTTTTACACAAGGCTCCTAAAATCCCTAGAAGATTAATGGGTGCCCTGAGCAGGGGGATTTTGGGAGCACAGGGGGAAGGGGAAGGTCTCTGCAGAGCCCACATGAGCTGTGAAGCAGATCACTGCCAGGGCTTGGAGCAAATGCATCTCCCCTGGCTACTGCAACCAGGCAGCACCTGGCCCCCGGTGGCCTCCCGGCTGTGCACAGGACACAAGGCTCCTGGTACTGCTCCTGGATCACTGAACCTCCTTTCTGGTTTGGGGAAGCCCACAAGCCCTGACCCCCCAGGGTCCAGCAGGTCCCCAGGCCTCAGATCCCCCCATCAATGCAGATGACCCTGATGGAAACAAGGGGGCTTCCATAGGCACATTCCACCCAGGATTTGTTGGAAAAGTGGCTCCCAGAAGTTTCCCACCATTACCTATGTGCCCCCTCTAGGGTCCTGCTGCCCTTGCAGCCACCTCATACACTGCTGGAACACCAGGTCCCAGGCAGCCCTAGGGTGCTGCTCTGGCTGAAATCCCATGGAGAATCACCCACCGTTCTGGATTTGGCTCTTTGCCCAAGGGCTCCAGCCTTGCTCATGTTGCAGCCAAAGGGGTTTTGCCAGGAAATGCAGGAGGGACCCTACATGAGCCTGCTCCCATGAAGACAGTACCCTGGGAGGGCCCAGGCTCACCACCTGCCTGGCATTGGGCTTGTTTTTGGGGCAGGATGGATGCTGAGGCTGCTCAGCCCCGAGCCCCGGGCGCTGCTGGTGTGGAGCTGCCAGTGTGAATCAGCAGCACTCACTTAACCATTTCCTCACAGGGTCCACATGGGGGTTCTGGAGGGGGCCACACCACAGCCAAACCCCTCCATGCTCCCTGGCTCCCTGAGCTCTGACCCTTGCCAGCCCCAGGAGCGTTTTCCTGCCCCAGCCCTGGGGTGGGAATCCCACAGCAGCTCAGCTGGGTCAGAGTTGAGCAGCAAACCAGGCACAGCTCCTGCAGCTGCAAAGCCTCTTGTAACACGTCGATGTCATGGGTTTTCCCTGGGACCTGCTGCTGTGCCTTGGCCACTTCACCTCCCATATGTGGCCACTTCACCTCCCATATGTGGCCACTTCATCCCTCATATGTGGCCACTTCACCTCCCACAGGTGGCCACTTCACCCCCCATATGCGACCAATTCATCCCCCATATGCGGCCACTTCACCTCCCATGTGTGGCCACCTCAGCCTCCGTGTGTGGCCACCTCAGGCCCTGTGTGTGGCTGCAGTGGGAGCAGCACATGGGCCCTGGTAGCTGTGGTGGATGCAGCAGGGCAGCCCCAGAACATGGTGGGAGATGCTGCTGCCAGGCTCCTCTAGACTTTCTCAGCTGAATCCATTTGTCTTTGCCACGAGTGGTTGTCATGTGGCCACAGTGGTGCATCACGGTGGCATTGGCTCTGCACCCTGAAATGGACCCTCAATCAGTCCTGTGCTAAGGGAGAGCAAATGACCTTTCCTGTGGCCAAAATCCCAAGGCCCAGCCCAGTTGCTTGGATTCCCACAGACCAGTGCAGCTCCCAGTGTGGCTTCCCCCTGCTCTGGCTGCTCTCAGCAATGGTCACTCACCCACTGCCATCCCAGCAATGGGGCTCACACCTGGTGTGAACCTGCCCGGGGTCAGGATGGGGACAGGTATGGGGACACCATCTCGCTCTGTGCTCTGCTCCTCTCCTTGCAGTGCATCTGCCACCGTCCTGCCTTGGCCAGGAGCTCTGTGCAGCAGAGGAGCCTGCACCAGAGGCTCTGCAGCCACTCCTACCCTTGGTCCCCACCAGGCTCAGCCAATGTGCCCAGGAGTGTGACATCCCCATCCCTGCTGCTTGGCTGCAGGAGAGATGCTGGGTTTGGGACAATAAACACACCCGGAGAGAGCAACCTGGGGACAGGGGACAGCAGGACTTGCTGGGGACGGGGCTCTGCCAGCCAGGGCTCTGCCATGGGGGTGCAGGCAGCTGCCCATGCCCTGCCCGCAGTGTCAGCAGCACCAGCCTCTGCATTGCAGCAGCCTCCTGCCTGTGCAGGGCCACGGCCACGGCCTGGCCCCCACAGAGGGCAGAGACCCCCCTGCAGCAGCAGGGCAGCAGGAGCTGCCTGGAGGGTGAGGAGAACCGTGTCAGTGCTCAGCGCTGAGCAGGCTGACAGGAGAGACGCGCAGGGGGGCCCCTTCTGCAGGAGCAGCCCAAGGGCACGTGGAGCAGGAGCTGGGACAAACTCCATTGTCACTTGATGCCAAAAGCTCCGTGGCTTCTCCCTGGCAGCTCCATGGAAGCGAGGGGCCAAAGCGGAGCCCCCCGGGCCGAGGGTACCCAAGCAGTAGCGCTTGGCTGGGGCTGGCAGCTCTCCACGCCGCGGCTCGGCCGCCGGCTCTGCAGGCGCCAGGCATCACCGCCAGCCGCCCTGATGCGAGGTGATGGGCTGTGCCAGCAGGGCTGGGGGCTGGCAGGGGCTGGCAGGGGGCTGGCACTTGTGGCACAGGCAGCCGAGGCGGCCTGGCATGGTGGGGGCACACACACGTACGAGGGCGTGCGAGGATGGTCGCGCGTGGGGTGCGTGGCAGGAGAGTGGCAAGGAGGCGGCAGCGTTAGCTGGGAAGTGATGCAGAGCCAAAAATAACCCCGGGGCTGCGGCTCGGACCAGGTAGTGACTTGGAGAGGGAGCTGCGGCAGCCACGTCCACAGTGCCCCGTGGCATGAGCGGCTCGCTGAGGGAAGCTGGGGCTGGCACTGTGCCCGTGGGTCCTGGGGTACACCCAGCCATGGGTGTGCTCCCTCCCTACAGTCCCCATTCCAGCCCTGGCACGCTGGGGCTGTCACCCTGAGGGTGCCCTTGCCATGCCAGTGCAGTGTCTGCAGCAAAACCCAGGGGCACAAGGACTGGGCACTGCGCTGTGCCCGCGGCTTTCAGGGAGACGATGCACTCAGCACCTGCAGGCTCCCCTGGGGCTGTGCCACCAGGGGCTCTGTCACCACTGCAGGTGCACCGGGGCAGCCTGCGGGGGCTGGGGTGGGGAGGGCGGTGCTGTGGTGCCAGGCAGGAGCAGTGGTGGCACTGTAGGTGCCAAGGACAGTGGCCATGCTGTGGGTGCCAGGCAGGAGTAGTGTTGGTGCTCTGGGTGCCAGGCAGTGACAGTGATGGTGCTGTGAGTGCCAGGCAGTGACAGTGGCAGTGCTGTGAGTGCCAGGCAGTGGCAGTGATGGTGCCGTGGGTGCCAGACAGGAATGATGTTGGTGCCGTGACTGCCAGGCAGTGGCGGTGGCTGTGCTATGGCTGCCAGGCAGTGTTGGTGATGATGCCACGGGTGACAGGCAGTGGCAGTGGTGGTGCCACGAATGCCAGGCACAGTGGTGCTGTGGGTGCCAGGCAGTGACAGAGGATGTGCAATGGGTGCCAGTAGGAGTGGTGGAAGTGCCGTGGGTGCTAGGCAGGGACAGTGGCAGTGTCGTGGGTGCCAGGCAGTGACAGTGGCTGTGCCGTGGGTGCCAGTAGGAGTGGTGGTGGTGCCGTGGGTGCCAGGCAGGCGCTGGCGCCGCGTGCTGCCAGCTGCAGGGGGACGCTGCTGTCCCCCATCCATCTGCGTCTCGGCGGCTGAGCGAGGGACAGTCATGCGTTTATTTTTAACCGTCTGGGGAGGGTGGAGGGGATTGGTGCCTCCCTGGTTATATCACTAAATCCCTGCCAGGCCCTGTTAGTTCCAGCACAGCGAGCCCTGCGCGCGCTCCAGTAACTGTTTGAGGTCCCCATTCGCCTGGGGCCATGCCCTGCCCCAGCCCGGGGACACCTCAGGGCCAGCTGTGCGCACAGCTGGAGACCGTGGGCACTCTCCAGTGTTCCCACAGGACCCTGCGTCCCCAGCCCTGCCCTCCCACTCCATGGCAGGGCACAGGCAGCCGGGCCTCCCTGTGCCCATTCCACCTCCCCAAGGAAGGGATGATGTGTGAGGTTCATGGCCAAATCCCTCTCCCCAGCCCTTTTGGGGACAGGGCAGGAGGAAATTTGAGCTGCTCGTGGCCACCTTGTCCCCATCCCGGTGGCAGATGCCATGCAGGATAGCCCCAGTGCTTTCCTGTGGAAACATCGTCCAAATCCAGGTCAGGATGAGGAGAACGCCTGGAAACGGCCACCACAGTCCTCGCTCTGTCCCTGTGCAATGTCACCCCCAGCACCAACCCCCTCCCAGCCCTCAGGAAAGCAGAAAAGGGTTAAGCCTCACAGCAGGGACACGTGACGCTCTGGGGATACCGTTTTTCTGAAGATCAAGACGGATTAGGGTGGAATATCAGGATGAGAATTTCTTGGGCAGTGCATCCCCTGACCCAGCCACAGCCCCTCGCCCAGCAGCTCCCAGTGCTGAGCCAGGTCTGGCACAGTGAGGGCCCACTGTGCTGCTCCCCGCTACTCCCTCCCAGCACCGCTGGATCTGGGGATGTTTGGATGGCACCAAGTGTGTGATGGGCACTGCAGGGGTCTGTGGGTCCAGAGCTGGAGCAGGCACTGTCCCCTTGTCTGTCCCCTGTACCTGGATGCTTGCCCCACAGAGCTGTTGGCAGGAGGAATGGGGGTCTCCTGCAGCCCCCATGACTCCCCTCTTCTGTCCCCTCAGTGCATGAGGCTGGTGTTTGCCCAGAAAACCCCCAGCGCCTGCTCTGACCCCCGAGGCAGCGCCGGGAGCCATGTCGGGTTCCTACGACGAGTCGGCATCAGCTGCCGAGGAAACAACCGACAGCTTCTGGGAGGTGAGTCCTGGTCCTGGCCATCCTCTCCTCCCACAGATCCCACTGCCGTGTCACACTGTGCCCCAGGGTGTCCCCTGCCCTCCCTTCTCTGCCTGAGAGCATCCCTGCTGTGGTGGCTCTGTGTCTGAGCTGGCTCTGCCCAAGGTCTCTTGGTTGTCTCTGAGTGACAGAGGGGTTGGAGGGAGTTCAGCTTGAGCAGCCCCAACCCAAAGCTCCATCTCTGCACCCCCAAATTGCCGGATGGTTCCCCTGTAGCCACCCCAGGCCAGCTGGGGCTGAGCCAGGCAGGATGGTCACAGCCCCCACACCTGCCTGTCCCTGTGCCCATCCCAGGTGGGGAACTACAAGCGCACAGTGAAGAGGATCGATGATGGACACCGGCTCTGCAATGACCTCATGAACTGCGTGCATGAGCGGGCCAAGATCGAGAAGTCCTACGCCCAGCAGCTCACTGACTGGTCCAAGCGGTGGAGGCAGCTCATCGAGAAAGGTTCCATAGCTTCCCCGGGGGGAGGGGTTCCCCAGGACACCTGGGTCCCTGTGTACCATTACAGCTTCACCTGGCAGAAATGGAGGGGGTGAGGGCAGTGGGTGACCCCCAGCTGTCCCCTCGGCCCCCAGGTCCCCAGTATGGCAGCCTGGAGAAGGCGTGGGCTGCGATCATGACGGAGGCGGACAAGGTGAGCGAGCTGCACCAGGACGTGAAGAACAGCCTCCTGAACGACGACTTCGAGAAGGTCAAGAACTGGCAGAAGGACGCCTACCACAAGCAGATCATGGGGGGCTTCAAAGAGGCCAAGGAGGCTGAGGATGGCTTCCGGAAAGCCCAGAAGCCCTGGGCCAAGAAGCTCAAGGAGGTGAGAGAAGCACAGAATGTCCTGGGGCATCTCTGTGTGCCCAGGTCCAATTCTGTGTGCCCAGTCCAGGCTGGGAGAGATGCGTGGCACCTCCCCACAGGCAGAGGGATTGGCAGGGGGCTGTGACCGCTACTCTGATGTCCTTTCCCTGTCCCCCCCACAGCTGGAGACAGCCAAGAAAGCCTATCACCTGGCATGCAAGGAGGAGAAGCTGGCCATGACCCGTGAAGCCAACAGCAAGGCAGATCAGTCCAACACTCCTGAGCAGCAGAAGAAGCTCCAGGACAAAGTGGAAAAGTGCAAGCAAGATGTGCAAAAGGTGCGAGGCACTGCCCCGTGCTGGACACATGGGGTGTAGGGCAAAGGAAACCAGTGGAGATGGCCATCACATCCCTTTCTCCACCATCAGTTCCCATTTTCCCATCCCTGTGCTCCTGGAGAACGATGAGGACTTGCAGGCAGTGCTCAGGGGAGTGTGAGCTGGGCAGGGATTTGCCCCATTTTTGGGGGCTGATTTCACCCACTGAAGCTCCTGGCTCAGTTTGGGCTCCCCAGCTCTGGTGACCCCCAAACCAGACCTCAGCACCCAGAAACGGCCTCTGAGGAGCTCGAGGTACAACCAGGGTCCCTCCCGTGTTTTTGCAGACTCAGGAGAAGTACGAGAAGGTGCTGGATGAGCTGAACAAGTGCACCCCGCAGTACATCGAGAGCATGGAGCAGGTCTTCGAGCAGTGCCAGCAGTTTGAGGAGAAGAGGCTCAACTTTCTCAAGGAAATGCTCCTGGACATCAAGAGGCACCTGAACCTGGCCGAGAGCAGCAGGTAGGGGCAGAGAGTCCTGGCCACCAAGAGGTACCAGAGTGGCAGGAGGCTGTGCAGGAGCCTGGCGCCCCCTGGTGCCTTGGAGGACACACGACCTAGCCCCAAGTGACACAACCTGGGCATGTCCCTGTCCCACACTGTCCCCAGGGGTTCACCCTGACCCACAGCCCCCCGAACCACGTCTCTCCCCTCAGCTATGCCAATGTGTACCGGGAGCTGGAGCAGACCATCCGCATGTCGGACGCACAGGAGGACCTCCGGTGGTTCCGCAGCACCAGTGGCCCCGGGATGCCCATGAACTGGCCCCAGTTTGAGGTGAGGCTGGGAGCCCTGGCTGGGTGCTGGCAGCCCTGTGGGGCAGCCAGGCACTCAGGGGTTGGTGACTCTGTGCTTGCAGGAGTGGAACCCGGACCTGACGCACACGATAACGCGGAAGGAGAAGCAGAAGAAGGGCGAGGGGGTGGCCCTGACCAACGCCAGTAGCGCGGGCGACACGGGGGCTCAGGCGGGCGAGCGCGGGAGGTGAGGGCCGGCAGGAACGGGACGTGCCGTGACAGGCACGGCCTTTACCTGTGCAAGCATTTGGGGATGCGAGATGTCCTCGGTGACAGCCACCCCTCCCTGTCCTCCCCTCCCAGCGTGAGCAGCCACGACCGCGGGCAGACCTACAGCGCCGAGTGGTCCGACGACGAGGGCAGCAACTCCTTCAACACCAGCGAGGCCAACGGCGGCGCCAACCCCTTCGACGAGGAGTCGGCGGGGAAGGGCGTGAGGGTGCGGGCTCTGTACGACTACGACGGGCAGGAGCAGGATGAGCTCAGCTTCAAAGCAGGTACGGTGCTTTGCCGGTGCCAGGTAGGATGGGGCTCGTCTGCTGGAGGTGTGGGTGTGAAACCCCTCAAATAATTTCTGAGCTGGCCCAGCCCTTCACAGAGTTGAACGGTCAGAAAGGGGAAGGCAGAAGCTGAGCCCAAAGAAGGGACAGGAGCAGTGGTGGGACAGGGCATGTGAGGGCTCATGGGTCACCCCTTGCTTTTCTACCCTACAAACTGGTGTGCCCAGGATGAGTCCTGCAAACCCCCAGCAGCTCCATCCCAGGGAGAAAAAGGGAGTGGGAGGATTTCCAGCACCTGCAATGAGCTCTTCCCTTCCACCTTCCTCTCCAGGTGATGAACTAACCAAACTCGGTGAGGAAGACGAGCAGGGGTGGTGCAAAGGGCGCTTGGACAACGGGCAGCTGGGGCTGTACCCCGCCAACTACGTGGAGGCAATCTAAGTCTTGTGGTGTGCTCCTCGTCACCGTCAGCAGATAAATCCACCCTCCGTTGTCTCCATCTCTCCACCAGCCAACCAGCCATTCTGCCGTCTGGTCCTTCACTCCTCACCCTTAGAGATTCAGACATATTTTCCGACCAAGCTTTTATTTTTTTAAGAGTTGTCTCCGAAGAGTATTTTGCATAGTCGCTTTCTTCTAAGATAACGTGAAGCGGAAGATGACGTTGTCCGTTCGTCTACGTTAGTTGAATTTTTTTTTTTTTTCTGAGCGAAAAGCCGATACCTCAAGATCTTAAAGCCCAACCAGTGAGAGCTTCTGATTGGTTGGTTTTTAAAGATACTGAAATCATGAGCCGCTGGAACTGTTCCGAAACGCACGGCGCCGAAGCTCCTGGGACCAACCAAATTCATCCCAGAAAACCAAGAGGGATTGGAGTCTGACTCCGTTGGTTATTTTTTTGGTGTTTCCATGTTCTCCCCAGTTCATCCTCCCGCCCCGAGGGAGGGGGTGAATGCCCCCTTCAGCCCCACGGCCATCCTTGAGATGCCCAGGTGAGGTGGGACCAGCCCCGCCATGGAGCTTGCTGGCATCTCCTCAGCTTCCTCCTCCTCCCGGCTGGGCTCTCAGCACACCTGGAGCGGGCGGAGGCTCCCGAGCCGATGCCCGGTCTGTACTGCAGGGAGCAGCATCGCCCTGCGGGTGGGCAGGTATCCAACGCACACCAGATCCAGGTGAGATGGCCCTAAAATCCGGAGCAGGACCCAGCAGGGCCCAGGGCTGCTGGAAGCACCTTCGTGCCCAGCCTGGCATAGCGAGGACTGCCTTGGGCACTGCTGGGCACGGTGCCCATCCACCCCTTCCTGAAGAGAGGCTGGAGCAGAGCAGGGACGGGGGATGAGCATGGCCCAGCCTTGCAGGGTGCCGGCAGGAGCTGCAGCCGGGGGAGGACGGCTCAGGAAACCCAGCCCAGGCAGAGCAGCTGCCTGGCAAAGACGGCCGAAAACAAACACGCCAAGGCAGGAGAGTGGCCGCAGGCTTTGCCCTTTGCTTGTCCCCACGGAGTTCTCCTGCTCCTCCTCTGGGCTCTGCCCCCGTCCCGCAGCTCCCCCGGCTGCTGCCACCCAGCACGGCCACCCCCTGCCTCGGGTGTGTTTGCCATCCCGAGCTCTTCCCTTTGGATCATCTTTCATTTCTTTCCATACCATCACCCTTAGCAGCATCAATGCCATCGGCTTCCCGCACGCTCCTCCTGCTCCTATCCTGCCCCCTCCGTTGGTTCGTGAATTTTTTGGCCCCAGGGATCCAGTGTTCTCGTGGATGCAGGGGAAGCACCGTGTGCTGGGCACGGTGGGCGGGAGCCATCCGGCCCCTGCCAGGTACCGGAAAAAAAACCACAAAGTCAGAAAAGACCCAACCAACCACCTGTCTCAGCAATGCACCCTGGTTTTTGTACATTGATTGTGTAATTTAAGAAGTATATATATAATATATATATCTCTCGTGATTGTATTTCCGTGGATACAACAACAAAAAGCAGCAAGAGAAAATAACCGAGCTCTGTCAGCGTCCTTGGCTCTGGGGTCTCCTTTGCTGTGCGTCTGTCTCACCCCCGGGGGGGCAGCTGGGGTGGCTTTGGACCCCCAAGGCACCCCCAGGTATGGCACCCCCACCCCAAGGTTTTGGGAAGCAGCAGGATGGGGAGTTCAGCTGCATTGCTGGGGGTTGGGGGGACAAGGGGAACAGACACTGCCTTTGGGGACTCCTGTACCACTGCTGGACCTTAAAGCCTTGGGAAACCCACGGAGGGCTCGAGTTATGCAGGTTTTGGGGCCATTCCAAGCACCAGCCCTGACCCAGCGTTCTCCTGAGCCTGTGAAAATCCTGGCACAGCAGGTTGATGTCACCTCCTTCCCTCCCTCACCCTGCCAGAGGACCTGTGAGTGGGACACAGGATCTGGGGCACCACGGGCCCATCCTCACAGTGCCCCCGCACTGGCTGCGTCAGCCACACACAGCAGATCACAAAACACACTGCTTTTTTTTCTTTCCCCCCATTTTTTCGTTTTTCCACCCCCTTTTCCAAAGGCCAGGGCAGTTTTCCTCCTTCCCCTGCTTCTCGCTGCCCTCCATCCCTCCTGCCAGGATGTGAGCAGGGCTGTCTGGATCTGCTGCTCTGGGAGCAGCACGGAGCAAGAACAGAAGGGAAAGGCAGTAGCTGGCACTGGTAGATTTTTTAAGGGAAACAAAAAAAAAATCAAAAGACCAAGAACCAGGTGTTTTTCCTTTTAAGCTCCCACAGAATATCCCTGGAAGCCCGGGCCATCCCTCGGCATTTGAACCTCAGCCGCAACTCATCACCAGCCAAAACCGAAAAGCAAATAAACAGAAAAACCTATAATATAAAAGATCAACATTGCCAGGTAACTCTGACTCTGGTGCAATGAGCAGGTGAAGCAATCCCCAGCTCTCTGCCCCAGTCCAGCCTCGGCGGATCACACTCTGGATTTATTGGGCAGAGGGAAATGGCAAAGCTGCCATCTTCATTCCCCCAAACTCCGGAATCAGGCAGTCCAAGTAAAATCTGAATTAAGGGAAGAGCTTTGTGCCAGGGCACAGAACCTGGGGTCTTAGGAGGACTCTGGTGGTCCTGTGCACAAGGATGAGGGACCCAGCTTGGGGATGTGTGCACAGCCCCACACCCACATTTACAGCTGCCCCCTTTGCAGAACTCCCATTTGCAGCCCTGAATCCCTGTGAAGGGGAGAAGTTGAGCATGTCCTGGAGTGAAAACCAAAGGGGGGATGCACCTGGCCCAAGGGGGTGCCCACAGTCCCCAGTGGCACAGCTCCCACGGCAGGCAGCACCCTCGGTTGGTGCTAGGCTTCTCCCACAGGGATTGGGACAGGACCCCACCATGAGCAGCAGTGGGTGTCCCTGTCCCTGTGGGTTCCATTGTCTCAGCTCATGCCCCAGGCTTTTTCCTCCCTGAACAATGGCTGAGGTGAAACCACCTACAGCCAGAACCCGGGAGGGAAGAGAGGAGGGAGGACAAGCTCAGGCACCGTGCCCACCCTTCCCACGCGAGGCGAGGGCTCTGCACAGTCCTTGCAGGGCCTGCTGGAGGTGAGGGGGTCCCTGTGTCCGTTGCCAGCAGGTCCTGGCAGGGGAAGCCTCGCCCCGCAGCCGAGGTCCTTGCTGCTGGCAGAGGGTCTCTGTGGCTGGGGCAGAGGGAGGCAGCCAAGTTCCCCCGTCCCTCCCGGAGCTCAGCCGGTCCCGCCGCCGCTCACACCGGGTGGACGAACTGGTAGACGAGGCGCTGGGAGATGTCGGGCTTGCGGATGATTCCTTTCTTGTAGTACTGCCGGATGGAGCGGCTCAGCTTGTCGTAGTTCATGGCCGGGCGGTTCTTGCGGATGCCCCATAGCCGGGCCACCTGCGCCGAGTCCTCGATCTTGAAGATGCCTGGCAGGGGAGCGGGGCACGGAGGGTTACAGCATCTCCTGCCCCACCTCAGCCCCCCAGCGCCCGCCCCGGGGCCTCTGGAGCATCCCTGCCCACCTTTGTCCTTGTTGAGCCAGCGGATGAAGCGCCCGTAGTTGTGCGGTTTCAGCAGCAGCTCCTTGAGGAACTGCCAGAGGTGGATGGGCTGGCCGGCGCAGGACGAGTCCACCTCGCTGTCTGCCCAGCTGGTGTCACCTCCTGCCACGGGAAAGGACGGATGAGAGGAGGGAAGGGACAGACCTCGCTGCTGTGCCCCATCCCAGGGAGCTGCAGAGTCCTCAGGGAATCCCGCCCGACGCCAGAGGGTCCCCCGGGCTCAGCCCAGGCACTGGGTCTGCAAGCTTTGCTTTCTACTCCCTGTCTTGGAGCAGGGAGGACACCTCAATCCTGCCCTTGTGCAGCCCGCAGAGGTGCAGGGGGTGTGGGACAGGGCCAGTGAGGGGTTCGAGCCATTTCCCCTTGGCAGGATTTTGCAGAGAGCCGTGGGGCTGCTCTGGGCAGGGGGAGTGTAACCACACAGATCCCACAGCAGCAGCTGCTCCAGTGCTCCGGATAATTGCAATTACACAGGGAGGGACCCCTCAAGTCCTCCGGATCTGCCCGAAGCACGAGTGGGGCCAGCGGAGCTGAGCCCACACAGAACTCACCGCAGTATCTCACATCTCCAGGAGCAGCCTTCTCCTTCATCCAGGCGGCTGGAAGGGAGGAGCGGGGTATCAGGGGGGCATCTCCTGCTGCACAGCATCGCCCACCCTCCCCAGCTCCCTCCCGCTCCCTGGCACCCACCAGACTTCCAGATGTCGAGGTGGGCGTGCAGGATGTCGCCGCAGGCGGGCGAGCGCTGGCAGAACTGCTCCTCGGACATGGCACACAGGTCCTTTCCCGACAGCTCCTGGAAGGACTTCCCGATCTGCGGCAGCCGGTACTGGTGCTCCGTCCACAGGATCCACTTCTGCACATTCCCGGGGCTCCAGTCCGTGGGGTCTGGGGCGAGGGGGGGTGAGTGTGGCCAGGAGCCGTCCCCTCCTCCCATCTGCTCTCCCCAGACCCTCACATGCGGCTGCAGCCCCCTGGAACCATCCCCTTCTCCTGTGGGGGAACAGCCACGCTCCTCCAGACTCCTACATGCAGCTGCAGCCCCCCAGGAGCCATCTCCTCCCGGCACAGGGAGCAGCCACGCTCCCCCAGACCCTCACACAGGGCTGTAGCCCCCCTGTACCTTCCCCTCCTCCCGTGGGGGAACAGCCACGCTCCCCCAGACCTTCAAATGCAGCGTGGCTTTGGCTCCCACGCCAGCACATCCCTCCCTGGCCGCACCCACCTGCGGCGATGTTGAGGAGCTTGCAGGCTGTCTCGATGTCCTTCAGCACCTCGCCGACCACCATGCTCTGCACCTGCTCCAGCGAGTGCTCCTCCAGGTGCAGGCTGTCCTGCAGGTCCCCCTCGGGCCCCAGCCCCAGCCCCTGGCTGTCGATGATGGGACATTGCTCCGGCTCCTTCCGCGCCTCCTCCCGCCCTCCCTGGCTGCTGTGGGACGCTTCCCCGGCGCCCTTGGTGGCCCAGGCCGTGTCCTCGGGGTAGAGCATGTCGAAGTAGTGCAGGCAGAAGGCTGGCAGGGGCTGCTCGGGGGTGCTGGGGGGGCTGGGGCTCTCCGGGCAGCCCCAGCTGCGGGGGTCGGGGTCCCGCGGGGGTGGCAGCAGCGCGGGGTCCGGCCAGGCGAGGCGGCCGGGGGGCAGAGTGGTCAGCCCGGGGCTGGCACTGCCCATCCCTCCGCTCAGCGCCGGCTCCAAACCTGCCAGGGGGAGAGAGAGGAGCAGAGCTCAGCCCGGCACCGCTCCTGCCTTTCCGCCCAGCAGCCAGGCACAAAGGGAGGAACTAAGCCTGTTAGAGGGGAAAAACCCTCCAAAGAGCCCCACTGTGCCCCGGAGCCTGCAGATGAGTGTGGGGTCAGCCATGGCTGGGGGGGGCTGTCCCCGGTTTGGGAGGATCAACAGCTGCAGCAGCAGCCAGCAGGGAGAAGGAGCTCAGGGGATGAGCAGGACCTGGCCCCTGTTCAGGGTCTGGGTGTTTGGGCTCTCCCCAGGGGTTACACCCCAGGCTGGCAGCAGCTCAGTCCCAGGTGGAGCTGAGGCCTCGGCAGGAGGAATGGGGGACACTGGGGGGCTCCTCAGCTCGTGTACAGGACAGCCCTGGGGTGGCAATGGATGCCTCAGCCACAGGGACACATTTCTGAGCATGGAAAATACTCTCTGCTGCTTCCACCTGAGGCAAAACAGCCCCCAGACCCAAATCTCCCAGGAGGGACCAGGCCCAGCACCACAGCACCCAGCCCTTGGTCACTGCTGCCAGCCCTACATGAGAACTTTCCTTGCAAGACAGGATAATTGCAATTACCTTCACTCTCTTGCAAGAAAAACTACCCAAAATCAGCCTGTCCCCATCTGTCTCTGTATGCAGGGAGTCCCAGAGGCCATGGAGAAGAGGATGAACCTATTGAATTTCCATGGCAACACCAGGGAATGGCTCCATCCGTGGACAAACCTCCCTAAAAACCATCCTGAGACTTCGGGAAAGGGAAGCCCCGCCAGGGAGAAGCTGTTGAAGGGCATGGCCAGGGCACTGCCCAGCTCCTTCACCTTCAGCATTGTATTTTACAAGAAGAAGAACCATCCCAAATTGGTGGTTTAAAAGCAGAAAAAAGAGCTTTAGCAATGAGAAAGGAGCGTGCAAAGCTTGAAACCCCTCAGGACACCAGGCAGCCCCGAAGGGGAACAGGGGGCAGTGGCCAGGGAAAGGGGGTGCCCTGTTGTTCCAAACCCCAGCTGAGGGTAAAAGATTTAAAAGACATAAAAGGAAAAGATCCCACAAGGTTCCTCCAGGCAGAGCACAGCCCCCAAGCACGGGGGTGGTCAGAGAAGGAGGGACACTGGGGACCCAGCCCCCTGTCCCATACTCAGAGGGGAGTTAATGCAGCTCCTGAGGATTCAGTGCTCCCAGGAATATGGGTTTTGAAGTTCTGCATTGCCTGCACCTGCGGGAGGCTAGTCACTTCATCCTTGGAATAGCCCAAAGAGCTCAGAAAAACCTGTGGAAGAGCCAGGGACACCTAAACAGCACCATAGCAGCCTGAGCCCGTGGGAACCTGGGGAGGGACTGTGGGTTCCGGAGATGGAGCCCACATCCCTGGGTGGTTTTGGTGGCACTGCAGCAAGGAGGAGGAGAGAGAAGAGGCTACTCAAACCCTCTCCTGGTCTGGGACTGCCTCCACCATCCAAACAGTCTCCCTGAGAGATGGTGCCTGCTTCCAAACCTCTCCTTGATTTGCTCAGGATTAAAAGAAGAGCTTTGGGAGATCAGTCCTAAATCCAGCCTCACGCTGCTCCTGGCACAAAAGGGAAGTGGCAACAGCTTGTGCAGCTCCTGCTGCTGCACAGATCCATGGGGATCTCTGGGGAGGGGACGGGCCCCTCGTTCCCAAGGCCTCTGGGATGCTCTGAGGTCATGGTTCATCCTCACACATGGAGGAGCACGGCTGTGAACCAACCTCGGGAACACCACAGGATGGACAGCCTCAACCCCATCTTCCCCCTCATCCTGTTCCCCTCCTCCCAGCTGGGACCAGAGGGACCCAGTCCCTCGGGAAGTGTCCCCAAAAGCCTGAGCTGTGCCCCACCAAGGGCACTGTACTCTCAGGGCGGGGGCCGCTGTTTGACTTTCTCCCGCTCTGGCACGCTGGCGGCCCGGCTGGGTGGGACCTGTTTGCACTGAGAAGCCACTTCAGGTGGCCTTTTCCCCCCTTTCCCTACCCCTTTTTGCATTTCCTTGGAAAAGGAGAGCTGGAGGTGCAGCCCCAGGTGCAGTGGCCCACACGGCACCCAAACCCTTCCCCTTCGCTGGCCGAGCTGAGGCAGGCTGAGCTGGTCATTGCATCAGCCTTGGCAGACGCTCCCTGGCCGCTGCTGCTGCACGGGCAGTCCTGGCCCCACGGGGCTGAGATGGGGCAGTGGGACGGGAATGGGGTGATGGGGCTGGGGTGGGGCTCCTGCACTTCTCAGGGCACGCAGCCAGCAGGAGCCCGGGGCTGTGGGTGGTGCTGGGTCACGGCTCAGCTCCACAGGACCCAGCCCCACACAGACCCTGCAGCCGAGGGGGAAAACGATGGGGCCAAGGACCCCCGTGCCACCCCGAGCTCTCCTGGAAAGTGCAACCCACCACGGCTGAGGGTGGGACACGGGCACCAGCAAGGGTGGAACGCTGGGATCAGCCCTTGAGAGTGGGGAAAAAAAAAAAAATAAAAGAAAAAATAAATTCACCCACCCCTCACCCACGAACAATGGGTCCGTTAATTAAAATCAAATCTGTGGTGGAACAGGTTGTGCCAGAGCGCCGCTCGGGAAGCCCCGTGGGACCGGGAGGGAGGGAGGGGAGCTGCCCACAGCGCCCGGGATGTCTCCCAAGTCCCCGGGCACTTCCGAAACCCTTCCCAGCAGCCGGGGTGGGGGGCCAGGGCCAGGCAGGCTCCAGGGTCACCTCCAGCCTCAGTCTGGGGACAGGGATGTGCTATGCTGTCCCAGGAGGAACTGGGGATGTGTGGGACCCAGAGCTGTTCCAGACTCCCCAGAACAGCCTGGATTAAGCAGGAAATGAGACCTGGGGTGCCTGCAGAGCCCAGGGCTGCAGCAGGCACTCAAGTGGGTGTTCAGAGGCTGCTGGCAATTTGAGATCCTGCCAGCAGTGTCCCATGCACCCTGCAAGCCCCAGTGACAGCTGTGCCACGTCCTGCTGCCAAACCCTGTGCCACGCACCCTTCTTATCTCTGGGTGGAGGAAGGAGGATTGGCCAAAACCTCCCCACAGCCAGGGCAGGGACTGGGGACGGCGCTGGGGGGCTGGGGAGGTGACAGTCCGGGGTGCTGGTTCTGGTATCTGCATGGGGACAGGGTTGGGGACAGGGTAAGCCCACGCTGATGTACCCCCAGGGGACGCAGCCCTCCCTGGAGGCCCTGGACCCTCGGCTCCCCACCAGCCTCCTCCAACACCACTGAGGTGCCCTGGCTCCTCCTGCCGTTACCTGCATGGCTGCTGGCACAGGGACCAGGTGTCCCCACGAGTCCCCACGCCCCGGGTCAGGCTGCCCTCTCCATCAGTGCAGGGAGGCAAACAGCAGTGCCAGGGGACAGGCACAACCTGCCAGTGACCTGAGCACAGCCTGGTGCTCGGTGTCCCCCCGGTGAGCAGCAGAGCTTGGTGTTCCCCATTTGGGGCCAGGGAGCCCCTATTTATAGCAGCACCTTCCCCCCCGTGCTCCCAGCCCCAGAGAACACCGGTATTGTGGGGATTTGGCACCCTCACAGCGTTTGTGTTTCACTAACCGAGCAGAACCACAAAAACCAAACCCACAGCCAAAGTGACTTTAGGGCTGACAAAAAAAAAATCCCAGCAGGAAAGCAGCTGGGACAGTGCAGGTCTGGAAAAGGGGTTCAGCTTCACGGAGACACCCCAGAGCTGACATCTCCTCAACAGCCACCCAGGATGCTCCATAAAGGGTCCCTGCTGCTGGTTTGTCACACAGTGCCCCAAAGCTGATTGTCCCCTGCCTGGCACAGGGGCTGGTGGGTCCCAGCTGTTACCAGGTGGGCTCAGGAGGAGCCAGCCCCAGGAGTCCTGGCTCCATCCAGGAGGAGCAGGAGGAGGTTGCAAAGACACAGAAATAACAAATAGCAAATCCCATTTCATTTTGGGTGACACCATCCAGAGAAATGCCAGGAACCTCGCACCGAGGGACAACCTGTCCCTGTTTAAGGACAAACCGACACCTGAAGGTGCAAGGAGCTGTGGGATGGGATTCAGACGTGAGACAGCACCGTGTCCATCCCAAACTGCTGCCAAGAGCAGGAGCCCCTGGAGAGAGGGAAGGTGGGCTGGGGGGTGCTGGGGAGCCGGGGGCCGTGGCAGCGGGGACGCCTTACCTGGAGGGTGTGCGAGCTCAGAATCCACATGGATGCCAGCGCAGGGTGGGAAGAGCCGTCCCGGTGGCGCTCGGCGCGGTGTCTGCGGGGACCATGGCCCCAGGTGAGGTGTCCCAGCCCCGGCGGGGAGCGCGGCCGGCAGCACCGCGCCCCGCTCAGCGCCGGCTCCGCGGCAGCACGGCCGGGCTGAGCCGCATCGGCCCCCGGTGGGCACCGGCGGGGTGGGGACAGGGATGGGAACGGGGCACCCCGCGTGGCTCCGGGGACAGCAGAGGGACGAAGCCAGCGGCGGCTGTGAGAGGGGAACGCCGGCAGTGAGTGTCAGGGCTCAGCCAGAGCCTCCTTTGCCCATTATATCCAATTCCTTCCTTATTTACCTGAACAAACAAGCAGTGCTTACCTCAGCCGAGGTGTTTGAACAGCCCGGGCCGGGTTAACCCTTGGCAGGTGCGTCCAGGGCGGGCTCAGACCAGAACGGGCATTGGGAGGGGAGAGGGGCAAACCCGGGCACCGTTAACCCCTTCCCAGCCTCACATGGGATGAGACAGGGACAGGGACAGACACCTGGGCCCTCCTGGAGCCAGACCTGCAGCACAGAGACCTGCAGTCAGATGTGTGAGTGGCCATGGCATG